TGCACTTTTTGAGTTTAGGGAAGGTTTTGGTTAAAAAGTTTCATGTCAAACAGCAGTCCGTCAGTGAAAATGAAACGTACTGATCAGATGGTGTGGACTTGCTGATGTTTCACAAATGTCAGTGTGTTCAAAATGGCCCCCAGTATTTCTCTGTCCCTTCCCTAACTGCATGTTACATCTTAAGTTTAATATGACCCCAGCATGTGTCTGAATGCTTGAAACTGATAACATGTGCTAACTTAAGCTTTGTTCTCTTCAGGATCTGTCTAAGGAAGTGAGCTGTGCCGTTATGTGAGCGCATCTCCGTCTCCTGCTGTCCGCGATTCTTCAATTGCACAAGACAAGCTGTGAACTGTGCCTTGATAACATTTTATTTTATTTGTGTGTGTGTGTATGTGTGAGAGAAATAAAACTGTTGGAATAATAAAGTCTCAAGTACTGTTAAGTCACAACACTGGTTTTGTTTTATTGAATGTTTGATTTCAGTATCAGGTGGCCGTTTGGAGCTGGACGGGATTTTCAGTCGAGTTTTGATTCACACAAAAAATATCTGAAAAGTTTGAACTGCTCTCTTTTTCCTTGAGTGGTTACTAATCATCCAGATAGTTACTACTAAAAACACATTGATGTGTTGCTGTACTCTCCTCTCTCTAACTTTTCTGATCATTCACACAAAAAGTTGTTTGTAAAAAGATCACAATTCATGTTTTATTTTCCAAAAAGGAGTTTGGGCAACTAGATTAATTTCTAATGTGAACTACTTAAAAATAAGAAAACTGTAAAGGTTACAGTAACCGAGGCTGTGGCTCTGTGGGTGGGACCGTCGTTTCTCTCAACCTGAAGGTCCAGGGTTCGATCCCCAGCTCCTGCAGCGACATGAGGTGCCCCTGGGTAAGACACTTAACCCCCAAATGCTCCCGCTGTTTCATCGGCGACGTATGAATGGGGTGAATTACTTCTGATGGTCTCACTACACAGCAGCCTCGACCATCAGTGTGTGAATGTGGAGGTGTGACCTGCAGAGTAAAAGCGCTTTGAGTAGTCAGAAGACTAGAAAGCGCTACACAAGCTCAAGTCCATTTATCATTTATCATTCCTTGCTTCAAAGAAATCTGTAAATCCCTCCAAACCGCCTGATTGAACATTTACCACTGGACTCTCTCTGATCAGTGTGTTCACAGAGCGTGTGTGAAACAGTGAGTGGCATCAGGGCAGCTTTTCTTTACTACTTAAAAAAAAAAAAAAAAAAATTAAGATACCACATGTGTTAAGTTTGCGCAGATTGTCATCAGTTGTGAATGAATAACCAGATGAGATTTATCCAAGACTTCTTTGTCTCAAGAAATCTTGATGGCGACCGTCACTGTGGATCAGAAGATCATTGAAAACCACAAACAACCAGAACGACTCTCCTGAATTACTTTTCATCGCTGTAAGACACAAAGGTTGTGAAAAGTCTGAGCTTTTGCTCCTTGGAAGCAATCCTTCCTCCCAGGCTGTGTCAGCAGTTCCCCTGTTATTGAACACTTTAACAGAAGGCAGATTGGTCCAATTGTCCTCCAGCTCTTAATGGGAATCTTCCAACCCTTTCATTAAATCTGCTGCTCATTTAGGATGTGTCTTGCTCTTTGTTCCCCTCCGTCCTTACATCGAAGCGTTGCTTAGGATTGTAGACTTGGGTCTACACCATAGTCTCCTTGTTGGAGGCTTTGCCGGGGATGTTTACGGACAGCGTCTGTTGGTTTAGTGTGTTGTGGGCTTGCAGGGGAACTTGTAGTCGCACTCTCTGGTCGGTCTTCTTCCACGTCTTGAACAGATGCATGTGGTAGCGCACAGACACCTGTGAAACAGATAAGCATATTCCAGTAAATCTTTTTTTTTTTTTTTTTGTTTTTATAGTTTATTGTATCTACTTGTTAACAGTTAGTGTCAGTTATCTGCATGCACAAGAATGAGAGTTGTGTGGTTAAAATGTGTGATGACCAGTGGTTGTTGGGGCCCTAGGCAAAAATTCATTGGGGGCCCCTCCAACCAGTGTTTATTATTATTTTCCTTTTCTTCACCCCAGACGGATAACTAAAAATGTTGATTTTCACAGGAATAATGCTGCAAAGCTTAGCAGGGCATTGAGATTGAGTCCTGGGGCCCCCTTAGGCAGGTTTCTTACTGTCGTTGCAAAATGTTTACATTTTGAGGCGATGCTATGGTTTAAAGTCTGTCAGCTGTTGGGGGGGGGCTACTACTGGCCTTGGGCCCTAAGTAGTTGCCTGCCTTGCCTGTTGACAAGCAGCGCCTCTGGTGATGAAAACTGAGCAGACAAAAGTATCAAAACATCGTTTCAATTTGATTATTTTAAAGGTTTTTTAGATGGCAAAAATATGCTGTGCTGTGACCCCTTCCACAGCAGTACTAGCGTGTTTATTAGCTTCTGCAAACAGGGGCTCTACTGTATGTGTAAACACAGCTGGATTAGACTTTAAATTGAATGATCATTTTTTTAGACCCTGAACGCACCACAGTCCAAAAGACATATATGGTAAAGAGGGCCAGCGTGAGGACCAGCAGCCCCAGAGCCTCCATGCCGTTGGTGTTGTAGAGGTCTCTGGCTCCCTGAACACACAGCCATCCTGAGAGGCTGGCCAGCGGCGTGATGAACAGGAAACACACTGCGTCTCCACACAACGTCCTTCTCTGCTGCTGCACAGAGGGAGAACCCAGCCACTGTGCAGAGACAGAAAGAAGACAAGTTAACAGAAGAATCATTAAAGATGATTTCACCCCAGTATCATGACATTATCACAAGGGGACGGGGCTTTAGAACTCAAGAACTGACATTTACAGACAATACAGCATCTGGCCAGCAGGGGGCGATCAAAGCCAGACCTGATCTGTGCAGTAGTGAGAATCACAGAGAGCAGGAATACTTTTATAAGACAGTAGAAGTATTATAAACATCACATTACCTTAAACTATAATACATATAAATATACATACCGTTATAAACATGTTATATGATTAGACATCTTCATATCAACATAGTCAAATTACAATCAAGTAAATAAACATCAAATAAACACCATCCCATTTTATAAATCCGGGTCGTGAGACCAACAGGGGCTACAGTATATTAGAACAACTGTTTGGTAGTATATGGTGGTCATTACAGGAACTATTATAGTCGGTTATGTACTAAGTTTATTGATGCATTTAAAAGGTTTTAAATATGTTTATAGACTTTCTTATTTAGATCCAATGCAATATGACTTTTCTTTTCCCAGTACACATCACAGACAGGAATCAGTGACCCGTCCATATTTCTTGACCTGGTCTGAACTAGGACTTGAACAGTGACCCATCAGTTCCCAAACCAGGTCCCTTCAGTCGGAGCTACTGTCACCCACAGTCATATCTTAGAGTGGGTTGGACTTGTTGCCCAGGGAACAAAAGAAAAAAGATGCTCGTCAGATGATTATAAAGTGTACTGAACCTGACAGCTGCTTTGCACTTTTTGCACTTTCTTTCCCAGAGCTTTCTTCTTGTTTTTATGATGTGATCTAATGTTTGTCTTTACGTTAACATTTTTACCGTCCGTCTGTGTGTGTGTGTGTGTGTGTGTGTGTGTGTGTGGTTGCCACTTTTTTGTTGTTTTTATAGCAATGACAATAAAGATATATTCTATTCTATATTCTATAATGATCACAGAGATCTGGGGAAACAGTATGTTGCTGCTGACTGACATGTGATGTGCATTGTTTTTGGAAATATTATTTTCTACTCAAACCTACTCATACCTATGGTATGATTTAAGTTTTGTTTGGGTTTAGAAAAGAAAAGAAAATGGCAATAAGCAATACTAACCAACCACAATATTGTTTTTTTATCACAATATTTCAGAATTGTATTACAAACTGAGTCTGTACCTGGGAATAAATGATAAATGCATATCGTCATTGCTAGTATTTAATGTGTGCAGAGCCTGCTGTAAATTAACAAGGAGATTTCAACAGTATGATCCTGTTATGTTTAAATACAGGACATTACTGTATTATAACGGTTTATAACAATATTTTACGGCATTATTGCTTGAAGGAAACAAAACGGTAATTTACCGTCATTTTTGCAAAGCATTTTGGGAAAAAGAAGTTGAGACCACATGGTTGAAAGGACAGTAGACAGGTTGTTTATTCAGTTTATGAAACTATAACAGAATTTTTTTTTCACTTCTCTGTTTAAATTTAACTACCAAAACTATTTTATGCACTTTATATACATTGGAAATGGCCTTTGCTAAATGCCTTAATGTAAATATTTGTGCGAGATTCTTTGCCTATTTAACCTTCATGTTCTTAAAGTGTATTTTCTTTGTTTAAAATAACAGCTTTTTGCTGTATTTAAAAAACGGTAGAAAACTGTAATTTCAGCAACAGCAATATATCGTTAATTTTACAGTAACTTCCTGGCAACCCTACTGCCAGTTGTTTACCGTTTTGTAACAGGGGGAATTTCTGTGTGAGTGTGTTGTTGAGTCAGAGATGACTGACACACCTCCTCGTCTCCTGGACAGCTGCACTTCATCACCAATGCAAAGTATGCATGTGTATCAGTGCATGTGTCCGTCACTGGCTGACAGAAGGCTTCTGCTGTTCACTGTAGCTTAACCACATAGAGCACGTGGTGCTTAATTAGCAGATTAGTGGCCGTGACCACACATGCAGCACAATGAGGAGGAAGTGGAAGAGGCCACTAATACACTCAACTGTTCTGTCCTCTACAGAGCAGCAAGGGGAGAAAACGCCATCTAATCTGGCTCTCAGACTAAGTGGCTTTATGGGTTCCAGCAGTCCAGTAGGCAGCAGCGGGTTGTCCAACATGAAGGCTGCATGAGTTTACACGTCTTCTGACTGTGACATGTGCTGTCTCATTATTGACTAAAAAAAAACAGGTCATTGGATATCAAAAGAAAAACACTTTAATTTTAATTTTACTTTAAAAGTAAATTAGTATTTTATTGGGGCGTGTAATCATTCAATGAATCGTGCAATAATTTGGAATGCACTCTTTTTGAAAGCTCAAAAGCCAAGCCAGCTCTTTTGCTCTTCTTCCAGAAGTTTTGCCAAGCTGAGCTACACCTAGACCTTTACTCGAATCTAAAGGCAAACATACGCAACTGATACTGGTCCACAAATAATAATCCTAACCAAACCATTTCCCTTTTGCTTATTGGTCTAACAAATGTTTATTTTAAGAGGGGTAACTATTTAAGCAAAAGTGTTGCAAACTTAACCTGCATTATTTTCTATTGGAATGTTTGAGCTTTTTTCTTCTCTTGCTCTAGCTCAATGCAGTCAGTCATTCAACAGGGCTGCAGGAGAAGCTTGAATGGAGCGTGCAGGTTTTTTAGAAATACATTTTGTGTGTTGCCTTTCAGAATGCTGATAACTTTCTGTTTACTGTTAAAAAAATGTATCTGTAATTTGTTTCTTTAACAAACACTTTAAGATTTTTAACTATATCCACTCTGATCTTTAACGACCAGGAAGTATACATGTCATGCAACATAGGATCATATTTAACATATTCTGTCTCTACACTGACTGTCGGATGAAAATGCCATGCATGTTTTTGGGACAATACTTACAATCTTACAACAGGAAGAGGTTTAGATATCCTATTAGCACAGATTTATTATGATTCAAAACTTTAGAATTTCACATGTAATATGTTGCAAATGGTATTTAACCCACAAGACATCAATCTCCTTTTGTCTGTTGTTGTGTTACCAAGACACTGACATACAGAGAGATGGACAGATATTTATGCTCATACCTGTAGGCAATTAAGAGTGACCAATTAACCTAAGGATGCATGTCTGTGGACCGAGGGAGGAAGCCAGAGAGCCTGCAGAGAACCTACACAAGCTCACAGAGAACATCCAGACTCCTCACAGAAATGCTGCTGCTGTCTTTCAGATTCAAACTAGGAAACTTCTTGCAGTGCTAACCACTGCACAGCCACGGTGCATATTTCTTTTTAATTGCCATCTGATATATTTTAACTAAAAATAAAACATTTTAAGAAATGTGTGCAGAGAAGCATTGTGTGGAGGAACAATGACAAGCCTACCTCAGTCAGAGGTTTTGACAGGCGCTCCAATGCAAACTGGTGGTGGCAGAGTTCACAATGGCTGCTGTTGGAGGCGGTCAGCCAATGCTCCAGGCAGGCCTGATGCACCATGGCCAGGCTTCCAGAGCACTCGCACGGGGACAACAGCTCCCCCGAGGCTCCGCCTTCATGGCAGATCCTGCAGATCACCTCCTCACTGCACAGACCAGCACAGACAACTGTCATGTCAGAGGGCGAGCAGAGTGTGTGTATGTGAGCTGGATGCTAACATTGACCTGACTGTTTCTGTCTGACTGTAGATTTATGACTTACTCTTTATCTGTCATTCAACTAAAGCAGAACGACTTAGCCACAAGTCTACAAGGCTCACTTATTCAACCCTTAGTGCAATTCTAATATTCTGATTCTGATTCTCATTCCGAAAAATAGTCTTAGTGCGCGTGCCCCACGTGTGGAGGCTAGAGTCCTTCAAGCGGGCGACCCCGTGTTAGAATCCGTTCTGTGGCTCCCTTTCAGGATGTCATTCCCTTACTCTCCCTCTCTCCCTGATTTCTGACTCCATCCACTGTCCTATCTCACCAGCATGACAAAAAGGGAAACATTGCTGTCAAAAATCAATATCAATTTGAATTGTCTTCATTAGAAAAGATATCCAGACAGAATAGGCCTACAATAGATGCAATTCCAATTTGACAACCTCATATGAGGAAAAGCCTCGCACCCTCCTTGACACATTTGGCACCCCCTTAAGGGGGCCCGGACCCTGGGTTGGGACTCAATGGTTAAGACAAAGTATCCATACACTTCCTAGTTATTTATGCCACATATCAGTTGAATCTTGACCTCAGTATAAAAGCTTCAGTCATTTCTCTGTGCAATAGTTTAGTATAGTGTTACATTATATAGACTTGGAGGAATTATTTTTTTTACCCCTATAACTTTCTGATTTAGAATCCTGGAAATAAAAACCTAAGATTTACTGAAGAGGGTTTAAATTCACATTTTAAGTATCTAGAGCTCAAGAAATAGTTTCAGATATAGGGCAGGATTATAGTCATTAATATGTTCTGGTTATGTTTACATGCAAAGCAGAGAGTAAGCCATACCTGCCCCTGCAGTCACTCAGCAGTATCTGTAATTGCTTTTGATGATTCTCTAAATCTGTTGCATTTTCCTTTATGATGTATATTTTATTGTTCTATATTTAAAGAAGAGAAAAGAATAACAGATCTTCCTCGTCATTCCTAGCATTTAAAAACATACATATAAATGAGACAATCCAAGTTTGACTTAAGACAGCATCGGTGAAAAAATGATCTTAATTATTGTGATGCTTTTTGCCCTCTAACCCCTTAGAACAAGTTTTTTTTTTCTCCCTGATAAAACCTGTGTGTTACCTCTCACTGATTGCTGTACGCTCCTCACTGGGCGTGTCCGTGTGATAGTCGGTCACTTGGTTGAATCTGTGGAGTTCCTCCTCGAGCTCTTGGTCAGGGGTTAATTTTAGCTCCCCCACAGGGCTGGACACCCATTGGTCCAGTGTTTCCTCTGCTGTCATCTCTGCTATATCAGGGGCCATTTACTCATGTCAGGAGAATCTGTCATCAGACACAAAGAGACAGACAGCAACAAATATGAACAAATTCATTATCAGTCCATTAATGCAGCAGCGAAACCATCACTTAAGAGAGAGCTCCTTTTAGTTTAATATTTTCTCTAACATTATTATAAAAACGCTTGCATTTTCAATCATGTTTTGTGGTTTCATGAAGATTATAACAGTTAACAGTTCTCCGTGTCTAAACATTTTATCTTTGACATTATCTCAAACCAAACCACAAACCAAAAAGATTACTTTTAGATTTGAAGTGCTCTTCAGAATACATTTGATCTATCTTAAAGGTGCACTATGTAGATTTGGTGGTGAAATGTGAAAGTTGGAGAAGTGAAACAACTCTATGCTTTAAATTTCTGAACTAAATACACAAACTTTATTCAAAGGAAAACACTAGAGTTAAAAAGCTGCCAGGAGAGTTACGGTTTCACTGATCATGCCCTCCACCTTAACGTCTCACGTAGCATTTTATCTTCAGTAGCACTGATTGACTTTGAGGTTGAGCTTCCACCTACGAGGTAATCAGACTGATGTCAGTGAGCTACCACATCACCAAAGTCAGCCGAGATGTGGAGGAAACTAAACAGAATAACAACAGCTCTTGCTAAATTGATGTTTTTTTGTGGAAGACTCAGATCTAAGAGACGTCCTCAGGTTGGCATGTTGTGACCAGTTATATGTCTTACTGTTGTGGGCAACAATAGTTCCACATATACAGGACCTGTATTAAACATGGAAAGCGAGTAAACTGGAGCTCCTGAAAAGTATAAATACTGATGCATTAACACCGTCAGTGAGTCACTTTGGACATGCAAAATAAACCTCAGCACTGTACATTACAGAATAAGTACTGTGAAGCTTTCTCCTAAGTCCAACTCAGACCTCACTGCTGTAGCAGTAATTCCAGTTATTTAAAGAGGACGTGTAAAGACGACGAAACAGTTACAGGTGCTACCCAGAACTCCTGCTGGCCTCTTCTCAGGATAAATCTTTAATCAAGTCAAACTCCTGCTGACTTCAGATTTAGAGAGTGCTGGGGAGAGCTTGCTCAGGTTGTCTGTGTCACTCGTGTCCTTGTTTGTAATTTACATTTGAAACGATGCCTACCAAACAGTAACCTTCGATAGAATGTCTTTGGTTGAGACGCGAGCCTCAGCTAATGGAACCGTTCTCACAAGATGTGATCAAACTTTCCAGGTTAGAGGTAAGCAACAACCATGGCGAGGTTCAGGGCCAGCTGGCTCTGGTCTCTCATCTCCTGCGGTGCAGAGGAATTACAAGCTCCTTTATCTGACAGGTTTTAGTAGCAGAAAACTACAGTATGTGCTGACATACACACAACTGGCAAAAAAACAGCATAAATAAACATGTTTACAGCCTGGTACAATAAAACAAATAGGTCTGATTAGTTGCACACACTGTACAGAGGTGAAGATTTTTAAAACGGCTCCGTTTTTTAAGATTCTGAAAATGATATGTTATCTAACTATGGATAGTGTTATCCATAGTTAGGCGTGTAGCTGACATGATTGACAGGTGGGCGCGATCATTAGGTTGACTGAACGTTAGGCTGAGACAGCATTTCCAGCATGGCGGCTGCTGCCGATGAGCCTCCAGCACCCCCTGCAGGAACAGGTGGCTGACGTCACTCAGGCTTCGTCCATTAATATTTTCAGTCTATGGGCTAGACCTGCTCAAGTGTCTTCAGAAAACAGTTGTTATAAATTGGCAATTTACAAATTAAAATTGATTGATCGATTGATTGATTGATTGAACAGATGTGCAGATATAAAAATTTGTGGTTTTGAGGAGGGTAAGAACTTTTACACAAACAACATTTTGTCAGTGTCCTAAACGAGCGCTCTGGCTACATGTTTTGGTCCAGGCCTCTGTGAAGACTCAGTGGTACCTCACTACAACACTTTTTAAAACTCAAAGTTTATCTGAGTATTTTTTTTAAATATCTGCTTCATTGAAACCAGCCAGCAGATTGTCTGTGTTAATAGACGTGTTGTTGAACGAGCTCAGTTACCAACGGACTAACTTTAACTCTGAATGCTGTTTGTTGTGTTGGTGAAGCCATAGAGCATTAAAAACCCTGTAAAGTGTTACAGAGCTATAGTGTTTTGACGTGCAGCTTTAAACAGTTTAAATCCTGTTTTATGTGTTCTAATTCATTAAAAAGCTCTTCTCTGTTCCCGTACGTGTAGACAGACAAAGTGGTGGAGACCAACCCAGAGCTAAAAGAAGAGTGAACAGCAGCCTAATTTAAATGAATGTTAACCTTGTGAATTTCTGTGTAAAAAAAGGATGTGTAAATAGGCAGCTGCTTGCTAACACAGTAACCATGTAACCACCGAGTTTACCGTCGGGGGATTAATAAAGGATATTAAAATGTAAAAAAAAAACAGGACTGGAGTGTACGTCTGCATTATGTGTATGGGTCATTGTGCCGACCCCTAACGACAAAAAAATAATGAAAACAATAATCACACTTACGAGTCTAAAAAACACAGCGAAACTATGTCAGTCCAGTAAGAAATTGTGAACCTATTTCCAATGAAAATATAGTCATAGCATAATTTGATACAATTCTAGTCAGGGTCGTATTATCCTGTCCACTTAATAGAGAGTTTAATATTTTTGACTTTATTGGTTTAAACACATTTTGGGAAAGAATAATGTTTTTCAAAATTAGATTGAAAAATAATCCATCAATGAACTGAATTATTTCCCAAAGCTTTGAAATGTAAAATGTGCTTATCGTTATCTAAAGAGGTGACAGACACTCGTACTGTTTACACCAGAAAGTGTTCTTAACTGGCTTAAATGTTTCTCGTCCAAATGAACAACTTTAACCCTGCATAATAAAATACTGAGTTGCTCTGATTACCTCAATTGTAAAAAAATATTATCAAACTCATGGAAACTCACGTTAGTCACAGAGAAGCACTGACAGGTTACATACCACATTGATCTGCAGAGCCAATCACACATACAATAGAGCTAATGACAGCTAATCCTGCAGCCTCACACAGCTCCTACAGTGACTGCACATTTCTAACAGCAATCTTACCACAAGTTTCATGTCCACAAACACTCAGAGAAGGTGTGTGCTCCCATAGAGTGTAAACCAGCCAAACTAACCAGCGAGTCCTGTGAGTTTTATCGGAGAGAGTCTATGCATGGACGCCTCTGCTCCTTCTGCCAGCAGATTAGCCCGGCTCACCGTCGATGGTGAGAATAGTGAAGGATTAGAAGGAGGGGAAAGTAGGAGCCAGGCCAGACAAATGGAAATCACATCAGGGTGAATTACACCAAGCGGGAGCACCATCTAACCATACCCTCCCTTAATCCTGTTTGGGGGGCTACCAGGCTGACAGTAGAGCAAGCCTTTCACCGGCCTCCTGCTCCTATGAGAATGTCCACAGCAGTGGAGGAGGGACAAGAGACTTGTGTGCTGTTGTTGTGTTTGTTATAAGACAGGAAAACTAAATGTAAAGGAACTTCCTCATTTAAATGAACATGATAATTGATTAAAGGCTTTATATGTGATTTTTTGATCCAGCAGATGTCGCCCTTGAGCACCAGCATGAAACCAAAACAACTTGCGCTGCATTGTTGTGTTAGCATGCTAATGCTAGCGATCTTTATTACGCTGGTATCTTCACACTGCATGTAAATTTACCTGAAATGAGCGTGATCTAGAAACACAGTTAAGCAGTGAGTACAGTATGTTATTCTTCTTTTCTCTAGTCCCTCAATTAAACAACTTTTATACGTGAGGGGAGGAGTCAGCCGGCTGTCCGGGCGATGTAAACAAACTGAAGATAGGACTCTGAAAACTCTGAAAGCATCACAGACAGTGGGACTCGGGTGTTACACCCATTGTAGACAGTCATGACTCACAGAGTTATTTTCAGAGGATATATTTGATTTATATTATGTGTTTAAGTGTGAAAAATCACATATAAAGCCTTTAAAAGTTAAATTTTAGCTCGTTACCTATTTCACCTACAGTAACCATCTTTCACAAGAATCAGTACCACACACCTGTAAGGGAAACTTCAAGGACTTCTACGGCAAAGCTGCATCTTCATCTGGAAAGTCAGCCTTCAACAAGTCTATTATCTTGTGTTGATTTAAAATACCACTTTGCATTTATTTTCTGATATCTTTAAGAAATGTTCTTTATGCTTCTATTTATTAATTTGCATGTATAAATGATGTTTCTCATGTTTTATATTTGCACCACTGCACTACTGTGCAGTCAGGAGCCTCTCTGTATTGAGTTTGCATCTTCTCCCTGTGCATGCATTGGTTCACTCCGGGTACTCCGGCTTCCTCCCACGGTCCAAAGACATGCTCACAGGTAAATTGGTGACACTAAATTGCACGTATGTGAGTGTGGCCGGATGTCTTTCATGTGATTATGAAGTAAAACACTGCATCATGTGAGGGTACATCTATGCATATTTTGAAGTTCTTGAGTTTGGAAACTGACAAACAGACTGATCACAATACGTTTTGGAGTGCCCTTTCTCTGAAGGAAGCCCCGCTGTTCAAATGAATAGTCCAGTCTTTGTCTCTACACATAAACTCAGATGAAAGTGTTGCTGCAAATAACTCTTAAACATAGGAGAGACGGACTTTATCTGACTCTCTCTCTCTCTCTCTCTCTCTCTCTCTCTCTCTCGCTTTCCTCTAATCCTGTCTGTTATTCATTCCAGGGCTGCTCCTGACACAGCCCAGAGGGAACGCACACCATTGAGATTTCCTCTGCGATCAGACTGAGAGGCTAGACAATTTCTTTGACACAGACAGCAGCACAAGAGCCCCAGACATGCGCCGCTCCTTCTTCCTGACTTGTTTTTGGGGGCTAGCCTGTTGCACGCTGTCTCTAACTTTAGGTCTAGCAGCACTGATGTGTCTGAGCCTTGATTCAAGCTCAGACATCAGTGATC